CTGGAGGCGGTTGAACCTGAGCAGTGGGCGAGAACGCGTTGGGTTGATCGGAGCCATCTCGACGATGGTAGGAGCCGGAGTGTTCGTTGTGTCGTGACTAGAGCCCGCATCAAAGTTTTCGTAGTCTAGTAGAATCTCTCGAACTGCTGTATTGTAGAGTAAGGCGGAAGCGTTGATAGGAGAACTCATATTGAAGTGCGATTGGCCAGCTCAACTTAACTGAACAATAGAGCAAAACTTGATTCGGCCTTGACTGGACGCATATTTCAATCCTGATTCTGATTGATTGAACGCGGAACCGTATGACCAGTCGCCCTCTAGCAATTTGAATGTCCATCAAATTTGTGCATCCCTCGTGCGACGAACAACTTGCTCGCGAAAGTAAACGTGAAATGTCAGTATTTTCCGTCAACGGACACCACTCAAGTGGTGGCGAAATACGCGGAACCAGGCTTTGCTCTGATTGGCCGAGATTACTAGTCAAGCAAACAACGCCCTCTCGCAGTAAACAACCGCATAAATCTTTGTACTAAGGCGAAAAAAATTTATCGCCCCCTACCGGCGTTTGTGCAAGACATAAGATTGAATCTGATTGGTCAATACTAGGTGGATTTGAATATCCGCCTTCACGCGATTTATCACCAAAATTACCGTTGCCAAAGGACCAATTAGCTGAGTTAGAACCCTCCAACGATATATTAGAAACAAATGTGCAACCGATGATGCCCGGTTTCGGGAAAGATAATCAGCCATACCAAGAGTATCCGCCCATTGTGCGTTAAGCGTGACTGGTATGGTTTATTTCCTCTATGTTCCTTTAAGGCTGAAATTATGGCTTTATGGTCCGTTAGTATCTCGACTTTATTGCCTAGTAGATAAGAGCAAAAATGTTCACACGCCGAGACCATTGCTAGTAGTTCAAGTTCATTTGTACTATTTTAAAATCCGATGAATTAAAAAAGCACGAGGCGAACGAAATAGGTACCCACAAACCTGCATCTGTCTCTTGCTCGAGACATGATCCTAAGCCTCTGTGGCTAGCGTCACACTTCGCACGCGTCTTCTTTGCGGGTCGTAGTGGAAAACGTTAGTAATTTCTGCAATTTGATCCAGAATTTTCCAAAATGCAGCCTCTTGAGACTGATTTCAGGCGAATTTCCTTTTATTGCAAAGCTTTTGTGATTCACGAAATTCGCAGGTAAGATTATGCAAACCAGGCATAAACTTCTGAAAGTGGTTGAGGGTGCCCATGAAGGACCGTAGTTGCTTAAAAGTTCTAGGAGCCTGCAGATTCCTGACTGCTTCGATCCTGGAAAATTTTGGAGAGTAACCTGTTGAGTGGATATCAAATCCCAGCCATTTGAGCTTTTCCACCGCAAATTCCCACTTAGACAACTTTAACGCAAAGCCTTCTTCGTCCAAGCGAGAGAGAACTTTATGGACAACTTCATTATGTTGTGTCAACATCCCTTTAGAGACCACGAGGATATCATCCAAATATCATATAGTCCCCGGAGTTCTTTGCAGCGTACAATCCATCGCTTATCGAAACTCGAACGGCATGTGCGTTAAACCGTAAAACTCAGTGTTGAATCTGTATGTTCCTGTTGACTCCCCGCAATGGATATTGAAACTACAATGACTACTCGTCATTTTTGAAAATTTAACCCGGCTGAACGCATATTTTAAATCGAGTGAAGTAAATCACACTGAACCAAGGACATCACTGGTAATGATCAGGGCGGCCGAATCGATTAGTTCCGGAGTATTTGGCATCTGATACTTATTGTTCCAGATTTGCGCATTGAGGGGTTTGGCGTCAATTGCGAGCCTAATCGAGCCATCTTTCTTTGCAGTAATCACAAAGGGGTTGGTGGAATGATCTGTAGTGCGTTTATCGAGCTTCGTAATATGACAAACCTTGACCAGCGCCTTCAATTTTTCAGACACGCGTTCCTGAATGTGGATTGGCACTTTCCGACCTTTAATTGGTCTAGGAATCAACGCGTGCATGAGCATAGTGTGTAATTGGTGAGACTTAGACCTGCACAATCGAGTGAACAAGTGTGGAAACTTCTTGACAAAGCGTGATTTAATCAGCTCGGAGGTTGAATTTTCCACCACATTCTGCACTCTCTTCACTTGGGGCGGATTCCGTTGGATTGTATCTATTCATACTGTTTTTTGCAAATCTAGCCCCAACAAGCATCGTGTTTTGTTCTCGGGAACGAGGAACGTGGCGTTCTGATTTTTCCACCCATCAGACGAGAGAGGGATTGCCAAACTACCGAAAATCTTGATTGAGTTCTTGTTATAACCTACATAGGAAACCTCGTTAGCCAAACTTTGAACATTGGTGACGTGTGACCTAGAATTTTGTCGAAGTAGAACATCCACTGTCCTTTTGTTTAACAAGGAAACTGTGACTTAGAATGATTTCGCACCCGATCGTAATATCACGCTCAAGTTACGAGGTGTTCTACGGTTGGATTTCAGTAGTTCTAAACTGCAAATTTGGACTATGAACCGTTTTTTTTTGTGGCTGAATACTGAGAATCCCATAGTCGGGTTCGCTGTTGTCATCTTGATCCTTCAAAAAATTATCAATTTCTGTTTCCAGGCTTGCCTGTGCATCCTCCTCTTTCACACAATTGACTCGACGCTTAGAGTTACATACTTTAGCAAAATGTCCTTTTTTTCTTACTCGACCGGCTTTCTACATCTCGTGCTGGGCAATTTTTTTGATGGTCCGTTGAAAATGTATTACCACAGAAGTAACACGACCTGGATTGGTTTTAATTTTTCCGGTCCGGGCGTTCTGTTTGCGGTAAGCAGAGTGACCCCCACCCCCGATACGATTGTTTTGAAAAAACTGGTTCTTGTTTATTTTAGGTAAACTACAAGTTGAAGGTTTCTTGTTATGAGATAGTTTTTTCTGGAATTCCACCCTTTTCTGGATGCACCCTTTTCCAGTTCCAACGCTAATTTTAATGTTCCAGCATGATCTGGATTTTTCCAGATTAATGTACTCTGTACATCGGAGTCGCAAAAACGACCTATAAACAGATCTCTTACCACACTGCGTTCCTCCAGGTCAGTCCAATTCCAGCACGTCGCTTGGGCCGACAACCTCGATTAAAAAAAACAGTTCATTCCGATTCTCGGTCCCTTTTTTCGTCTTTCATCGTTTGCTTCGTCGACGGATTTTTTGCAGCAGCGTATCTGCGGAGGCGATCATCTGCTTCTGGTTGTATTTCAGGGTCCGACCTCGTTTCTGGCCTTGGAAGTGCATCATCGTGCACATCACCGGGTTCAACAAGGATATCAGACACACTGAAATTGTCCTTTATTCCTAACGCTAGGCTGAACTGTCCGAACCAGCTGCCCCAACTGTATGGTGGGTATAAAGATGGTTTAGTCCAAAGCGGAGGTGAGCCAGCGAGGTCCGTCCTGTCATCCGAAACAGGAACTGTTGAATGTTCCATAATATTTACCGAACTCAGGGACTGATAAAACTCGGTAAAATAGAAGAGTTGATTTAGTTAAATACAATCGTAGTATGTATATAGAAGTAGACTAGACTTAGCCCAAATAGAATTAACTTTTTGTTTACAAAGTGTAATGGGTAGAGAAAGATATAGAGTTGAGCTTGTTAGACTATCGTAACAAAAGAGTAGGTATAGGTATGAATCGCATATCGATATACAGACAGATGAATTTAAGTTTAGCACCGTGTGAGATAATTTAGCACGACTGGTGGGCGACTTTGGCTCCACTGCAATAACTGCAGCAATGTGTGCAACGTATAAATATGATATGTAATATGCGTGGCATGACAGGTAGCTGACTATGCGTGGAAAACGAAAAATCGAAAAAAAAACTGAAACACACCCGAATACAAAGTTCCTCCACACTTTCAATGGTCGCAACAATAACGTGGCTGTTGAAACATTAAAGTCTTTGTCTTAATAGAAGTTTTTTCTTTCAAATTCCACAGTTTTATTGTAGAACAAGTTCAGTCTGGTATGATTTCAGTATAATTTAAATTGTTATTTAAGTGGATCAAGCTAACTTGAAAAGCCCCGGGTTGATCATCCGACAAAAAATCCCCTATCTTAGAACTTCTGTGAGTTCTTTGAAGATTTTAAAAAAAATTTCCCCATCTTTTCTTGTAAATTTTTGAATTGTGTTTGCTTTGAAATAAACAAAAGTTTTGTGAGCACAAAACTTGAAAAAAAAAAACGCTTCTCATTAGTTTTTAGTGACTAGATTTTTTCTCCCACAGTTCTTACTACTTTCTTTCATAAGAAAAAAAATCTCACAATGAATCCAAATATTTTAAATACTTCGCAAATGCTGCAGAAAACTGTACCTGCATTGGAAAAAAATGTTTCATTCAAGTAAGAAAGAATAATGTTTTCTAGGAAGTTTCTTTTATCTTATAACTTTGTAAGTCCCTATCTTACAACATTCTTATAAGAAAAAGTCCCTATTTTTTAACATAATTAGAGCCTAATTTTGTCAGAAGTTGTATGATTCTTATAAGAAAAATTCTAATATTTTCGGTCAAACTGGGTCATAAATTAGAAAAAAAACTAGTAATATTTTTGAAAATACCTTAGCTGTGACATAAACTATTTAATGAGTTTTACCTTTTCAAAAATGTTTATTTTTTGTCGTAGTTTTTTTATTCAATTAAAAACTATCTTTCTCCTAGTTCGTGCAAAAACTCAACGAGCAGCCAATTTAGCAAGGTAGCAAAAATATTTGAAATCCATTAGAAGAACAAATACTACAAATATAACAAACAAAATTTGTTTGTTATATTTGTAGTAATTTTAAGCAATTTTCAGAAAGCACATAGTAGCCGCATTTTAGCCACATAGAATTGGGAGCTTTCTTTTTCAAAAAATAAAAGTGCATTTTTTTAACCCAATTAATAGAGTTCGCTTACAAAACACTTTAAGAACTTTAAAAAACTCTCCAAAATAATCGTTCACCTTTGAGCCCATTGTTCGTCCATGAATAAGATCATGACCTTACAGTTGGCCGCATTGCCAACTATGGCCTCTCTAAATCCATCGCCAGCCTCCATGTCCACACAGATAAAAGTGGACAGCCCCACATTTTGCACCATCTCGTCCAGCTGCTTGGCGGCGGAGCCTGCCGAACGCACACAGTGGCTCAAGAACACCTGTTGGTATTCCATTTTAATCCGGCGTTCACAAGTCGCAACCTCAGAGGCAGGTGCCGAAATTCAAGAAAAATATCTCCAAACTTTTTGTAATTACAAAGTAAAAGAAATATAATTTGAACAAATAAAACAAGAGTAGCATAGAAACTTTCAGTCAACCAACAACAATTTATGAAGAGCTTAATTGACCAGCTAACCTCAGACCTGTACATTAACAGAACAGGAGTTTTAAGTCCAGATTTATGGCTCGACTTTGATCTGAAATTTGTTTGATATATATTTGGATGTTTACAGCAACATATAGTAACAATGATGTTCAGAGCAATTTATTGAAATTAAAAATTTCTGAATGGGGTCAAGTTAAAATCTTCAGGACTAAAAATAGTTCATTTATCTGCCAGCCATTGAGGCAATGGGTATTTCTGGGTTCTTTTTCAACAAAACTTGGAAAGTTCATCTGAAAAAGAATGGTCCAACGGCAGATATGTGCCAAAATAAAGAGCTAGATGTATAATTTATTCGGAGAGTCTAGACACAGTGCGCGTATGACAGTCACAAAACACGAACTGTATATACAAAAACGACTGGTGAAAATAGGTACAAAGCGCCCCTGAGGTCCCTGGAAAAAACTTTCACTCAATCTGGTAAAATTAGCCTACCGTTTTGCTTTTGCAATTGAACACTCTCTGCACTTTTATCATTCTGATCAATGGTGTGTCTCCAAGTTTTTTATAGAGGCAAAGACATTTCATTTTCCGCTAAAAATGGCCGAAGAATGGCAAGGGAAAAAATGGTATGCATAAAACAACTCCCAGTATCGCGTATTGCTCTGAGTTCGACGGAAAAATTCGCTTTCAACATCAGTCGGTTGACAAGAAGGTTATTATAAGACTAAGACAAGCAACAAGAGGGGCACATGTGTCTGGCTGCGATTTTAAGGAAAAATGAACAATTTTATGGCACACGAAAGTTCTCAACGCTACTACATCAGGTACTAAGGCAAATTGTTACATTTGAGCTCCAGACAAGGTTATTTGTCCAGAGTCTTTTCGGTCAAACCCCCCCCCCGTAATTGATTAAAGACAAAAAATGTGTCTCATACAATTTTCATATATGAAAAACATGCTTATCATCAGGCATTTCGGGACCCGAAATTTTTCAAACCCAAAACCCGATTAACCGATAAGCTAAAACCCGAACCCGAACCCGAACCCGACGGTTTCTTCAAACCCGAACCCGAACCCGACATTCATTTCAAACCCGAAACCCGGCCCGAAACCCGAAAAAGATCTCAAAACCCGATTACCCGACCCGATACTCGACATGCCCGATTTTCAGGTAGATTAAATGGTATGAACGTTGACGCAATAAATTTGATGCGTTTTTAGAGTGTAACTTTCTCTTACAGTGAACAATAAAAATAGCTGTAAAAACAATATTTATGCAATAAATGTGTATTAAAATGGGAATGTATATAGAAAACAAAAAAGTTCAACGGAAATATAAAGCTGTATTATTATGAAATGGGAACGTACAAGTACGTATTAAACGCATTCCTCGGTGAGTTTCAAGAACACGTTGCGTGTAAAATTCTCCGTCTTAAGTCGCGATTGAATATCCTTCTTCAAGTACTTTGCATAACTGAACGCTCTCTCAATGTCAGAATTTGCTGCGGGAATTTGTCTCAATGTTCTTCGTATTTGTTCCTCTTTTGGTCCAACTGCCCTTTCAAGTTGTAAGAAGTCTTTGAAAGAAGTTGGCGTTGCATAAGTATGCTCGGTTTGTTGCAAGTTTTCAATATTTACAATCAGATTGATTACATGTGCCAGGCAAGGCACATGAGCCAGCTTCATTATACGGCAAAACTTGACCATGTCCGAACCACAGTCGGACATCACACATGCGAGTCTTTCTTGAAGCGAGGGGAACTGCTAACTTTTGTTACTGACACATTGTCAAGATATACGAATTGGGAATGGAAAGTAAACTTTTCAGTATTCGAGTTCAGAAATTTTCTTATGGAAATTTGATTTACATCTTCCGACTCAGTGGAAGTGCAGCTGCTAATGTGCCTTTCAAGAGCTGACGTATTGCTCTTTTTACATGAAAATACACTTTTGCAACGAACGCACTTCCGCGCTTCTGTTTTCTTCTTGTCAATGAAACCGCACAGAAACTTGTCTTTCAACTTTGGATTTTTGGTTTCAAATATCCGCCACTCTTCCTTCATCGTACAATGCAATCGCGTTCAGAAATGAAATAGAAATAAAAATTAAAAAAGTAAAAAACCTCAAACAAAAGAAAAACTGGGAAAGTTTTTGTCGAAACCGAAAACAGCAAACAAAAGTCGGGTTTTAGAAATCCGACATAATTGAATACCCGAACCCGAACCCGAACCCGAAAATTTGTTGAACCCGAAACCCGACCCGAAACCCGAAATTTGTCTCAAAACCCGAAAACCCGACCCGATACCCGAAAACCCGAACCCGAACCCGAAATGCCTGCTTATCATACACTTTCATACAATTTCATAGAGCAAAAGTAAGTGTATGAAAATAACAAAAAAGAGTATTTTTTCCATTGTATGAAACTATATTATAATCATTGGAAAACCAAGCTATGAAAATTTATGATAATTATTTTTTCCATAAATGAAAAAACAAAATGTTTTTGTTTCGAACTTTTGTGTGTCATCTGAAACACTAACCAAGGGTTATTTGTCATAAGAAAACCCAGAAACTAACTGGCAGTTACCACACAGGAAAATCAGCGTTTAGTGATTTTAGCCATGAGGGTTAATTTTAACATTTTCACTTGAAACTTTATACCAAAAATGTAACTTTTTGTATGTGGCTAGATAATTTTTAGTTTGAAAGTTTTGGTGTTTGACAGAAAAAGGCCTGTTTTTTAGTGATTATTGAAAAATTCATTTTTTCTATGACAAAATAACTTTCTTATAATCATCATACATGAAAGTTGTATGAAAAGCACTTTTTCCACAGACTTCATAAAAGAAACTGTATGATACGCATTTTTCTTCTGTGGATGTCAACCCGATAAATTTTAAATTTTTTAAAATTTTATATTAAAACTGGGACAAACTTACAACAAAAAACCAATACATAAATACTTAATTACAAGAGAGGTTAAAAGAAAGTATTCTTACTTAACAGGCCATAAACGGTTCTTTTTCTCATTTTTGCTACAACTTTGCCGTTTACTGCACATACATTTCATAGAAAAAAAACGGGTTTTCACTTGTTTGTAATTAAATTTTTTTATAATTCTTGTCATTTAGGGTGGGGCAGAGTAAGAAGTGTTCACATACCACTGGTATGCTTACAACTAAAAAAGCTAAAAATGAGTAAATAAAATAGAACGAGTTGAATTGAAACTGATTCTCCTAAATAGAACTCGTAAAGTGCCGCTAAGTCTAATGGAGTTGGGATAGATACGAGCTAACAGGTATCTGATTAAAAATTAGAAGTAAAATTAGGAGAAACAAAAACACAACATTCCCCAATGCAGAAAAAAATATATCTGAATTTATGGGAGGTAGCCAAATCGCATACATGCTCTATTCTCCCTTCACCTTACTGGCGTCAAAGTTGGAACAAAAGTAACGAACAAAAGTAACGAATTGTGTCTGTGACGTAGTTTAGAAAATTTTGCTAAGAATGACCGTTAGATGTGTATTAACTTTTCAAACTTTCTGCCCGACGAGAGTATCATATACTATCTACACTGTGTACTTACAAGAGATTTCTTTTTCTTATTCTTCTTACAGTTAGTATTTCTAAATAAATTTGATGTGATCTTGTTGATTGCCGCAACCACAAATTCTTTGGCGTAATGTGAGGTTGGGGAGTCTTTTCCTGAAGGAAATCTTGAAAATAAGACTGTAAGTCCCATTTTTTTCCCTGGGATGTGTTCAAGTTTGAAATGAAAAGGAAAGCAATCTAGTGACTCAACGGGTTAGTCTATTTTTCATAGTCTTGTCACCATGTTAAGCGTTTAGTGCGGACAGTATAGCTTTTACAATCAGGTACAATTTTATGTTCTGACTCGTAAAACTGATTCTTGACAGATTCGGTTGCCCAGACAGCTACCAGAAATTCTAGCTAGTATTTCATCTCATAAATATTAAAAAGTCTGGTTGCGAATGCTATTGTGATCCAAAATTCTCCGTCCTGCTGTTCAAGTGTGGATTCTAATGCGTTATGAGAAGCGTTAGTTTTTAGTATTGACATTTTTTATATCAAAGTGATTGTTTTCCGCATTTTTTACAATTTGCATTTTTAAATCTTCAAATGCTAATGTATGAGTTTCAGTGCAATGGTAAACTGACTTTTTGTTCGAAAAAAAATCGTAGCTGTGAACATATGGGTGACAGGTTTGGGACAAGTTTTAAGCATTTGTTCATTGATCCGAAAAAATTTTTAGTTCTGAAATGTTTTTTGGGTTCGGAATAAGTTTATTGAATCAGCTTTTCCAATCAATGGATTTTCAACCAATGGATTTCCCAAACATTCTAAATCTTTTCGAAAGAAAACGCAATTTCCCCATCCTACCGCCATGTTCGTGTTATCCAGATGGATGTTTTTCTTCCAGCGAGCCTGTCGAAGCTATTAAAATATCCTCAATGTAGCAATTGGTAAGATATATGTCTTTCAAGAGTAAATCCATTATCCGTTTCAATTCATATGTTATGTCTCCCAATCCGTAGAAGCCGGTTAAAAAGTGGTGCGTTCCCGTAATTTTGCCGCTCACTATGATAAAATTGAGTTTTTAGTCGTGTTCTGGCATAGTTTAGTTGACTGTAGGCGTTTCTTAGGTTTAGACTGCTGAACCAGAATTCCTTCCAGAAAAAACTGCTGAACCAGAAAAAAACCTTCGTCACAATTATCTATCTTGACGACATGTGCTGCCTTTACCATTCTTCTCAAACTACTTTTTTTATTAAATGAAGTGGTATTTTCCTAACCTTGGTTTGGATTGGTTTAAAAGGTGAAAGAAAAGGTGTGATCTTTCTATCCCATGGAATTTTTCTGATCCTACTGAGAAGTTTTTGAACTGTTTGTACAAGCTTACAATTGTGTTCGAAGGAATCTTAGACTTACAGGCATTTGGAAAAGATATACTGTTGAACGGTTAAGAGCAATGTTTTTGAGCAATTTCGATTCCAACTTTG